TAGCGTGTGTGTGTGTGTGTGTGTGTGTGTGTGTGTGTGTGTGTGTGTGTGTGTTTGCTCACACGTGTGCACATGTGAGTGTGTGTTGTGTTGACATCCTCCCTGAGAGTCCTGGAGGCAAGCCCTCAGAGTTGGGTGGGGTTGTCACTTCTAGACAGTCACGGTGCTTTGGATAGAAGTAGCAAACATCAGCTTTGGCCAGCTCAGAGAAGGAGTTCATTAGGATGTGGGGCAGAGTAGGTCCCACCCTCAGAAGGAAGGCTGGAGACCTGGGCTGGAGAGAGACAGGGACTGAGTAGTGCTGGAGAACCCTGGTAGCAGGAACACACTGGAAACTAGACTTGACTGGGAAGATGGTGAGTACAAAAATGATCAGATGTTTGCTCTATTGTCCCGAGAAGCAATAATCTTCCCTTCCTTTTAGCTGGTTTAGGAACCTTTTGGTCCAGATAGTTCCTTCTGATTGCTTGCTGTATGACTTACCTAGGTGCCCTCTGGGGGTAGACAGTGGCAAAGGCTCTTTCTTCTGGGCCTAAGACATCAGCAGAGTAGAAATGACACCCATCCTGCCCAGGCTGTCCCTAGAGCTGCAGCTGGACAATATGATGACTAAGGCAGGGGAGGGCAGGGTGCTGATGGAGGCCGTTCCTTTGCTTGATGGGCTTGATAGGGACCCTCAGATCTGCACACGAGGGGAGATCTGCAGCTCTCAAAGGAAACGGTGCTGAGTTATAATCTCCATTGGGAGCAAAAAGCCACTTCTAAGCATGTGTTTGGTGGTTAGCTCCCACAGTGTGGGAAGAACGTCCATGAGACCCTGCCCTGGCATTCCTCGGGACTCTGGGGCTTTAGTCCTCGGCTGCTGCGCCCCACTGTGCTACCCACTGTGGCTCCCTTCCACTTGCACTGTGACCCTGCGACAGCTTTCCTTTTGTGACTCAGAGGACGGGCAGATCTAGGTGAGGGGAAAGGGAGGTCTCCATGGAGCAGTCCCGAAGCTTCACAACAAACGCCCACCCTTCTCCCCCCTGTCCCTGGCTTGTCTATCAAGCCCCTGACTCCCAAAGGACTCCACAAAAAGCACTCCCTATCAGGGATTGGAGCAGGGGGAAAAGTGCATAAAGCTAAGCAGTGGCCACTGGGTGGTCTCAGCCGGACTAGGGTCCACAGGGAAAGGCGGCCTGACCGTGCAAGGCTTGGGTGGGAGTAGGGAAAGCGGGGATAAGGGATCCAAGATTGGTCCGGAGGAATCAACACAAGTGGAAGCAGGCTGGAGTTGTGATGTGGCGAAAGGGGCTGCTAGTGCCGGAAACAGGGAAGGAAAGGCATGCCACAGGGGCCAAGTAATGGATCCATGAACCTTCCAAATGCCTCCCCCTGATGCTGTGGCTTCCCCCAGGCTCTGGACCAGTCAAGGCCGGACAGAGCTCCTGGAGCAGGAGCTGATGCTACCTTCTTCTTGACTGCAGGGTCAGCGTGTGGGCAGGTGTCCAGGATCTCCTGTTTTCTGCCTCACAGCAGGGCTCCCTTCCTTACCTCTTCAGCTTCCATGGTTCTGAGCTAGGTTTGTTAACCACAGTAGCTGTTTCTGTGGCTTCCCTGCCTTTCCCTGCACAGGGCCGTGGCACATTCATCTGCTGCCAGTGCTCCAGCGCTCTTTCTGGCAGACACCTACTGCTCGAGTCTAAACTATCTGAGCTCATCCTTTCTCTCTTTCTCCTCAGATGATCCTGCTCCCACTTCACAGACAGCGAAGAAAAGCCGGAAAAAGTGGGCCTGGCTGGTGTCAGCCTACACGGGACACTGAATGACCAGTGTTGCTCACTGTTGCTCCCTTTTTCTTCAGAGAGTGGTCAAAGGCATCCAGTCCAGGCTTCACTGGGGACTTTGCAGTCTCATAGCTCCTCCTGGGGGTAGAGACTGGTCCTTTGGACCTCCAAAGCCCTCTAGATGAATGGCTTCTGGAACATCCACCTTGCTTAGCCTGTCAGGCCTTGCTGATCACATGGCTGAGGGCAAAGGGGCTTCTCTGAGTCCTTCAGCTGAGAAAAGATGGAGGCTCGTGGCGCCCGAGCAGGTCCAGTCAGGGCTGCTCAGGAAGACAAACCTGGACTCTGGAGCTGCTGCAGGTAAGGGTGGCCAAGATGTGACCTGTTCTGAACTGAGTCTGTCGACAGCATTGAACAAGCCTCAACTGGACAGGCCTCTGGCCTGTAAGGCATGCAAAGAGCTGCCATGTCTCCAGGAGAGGCCAGGGGATATTCAGGCCCAGAAGAGGGAGCCAGAGAACCCAGAAGGCCAGCTCGGCACTCAGCAGCCACTCTTGGATCTCCCCAGAGCCTCAGTTGATGGCACAGTGTGGTCAGTATGGCCGGGTGCAGGCCGGAGTGAGCAGAGAAGTGCTTTCAGCAAGCCGGCCAAGCGCCCAGCAGAGAAACACAGGCGCTCCCACATGTTTCTGGCTAGTGGAAATGCAGAGGGCCCATGGGAGCTATCAGGACTCATCACCACTGTGGACATCCCTTGTTGGGCTCAGCTGTCAACTTTCAAGGTCATGGGTGATTTCTGGAGATTACACACGTTGTCACAGAACATTCTGCTCTGCAATGCTTTCCAGGGGGCTCCCACACCGTGGCTGGATCACACCCAGGTGCAAGTACCCACATCCTCCCCACCTTCTGCCACAGCCTCTCGGGCTCTCTTGCCACCCACACTCTCCTCCCCGGGCTTGTCCACCCAGAACTGGTGTGCAAAGTGCAACCTTGCCTTTCGTCTGACGGCTGACCTGGTCTTCCACATGCGGTCCCATCACAAAAGGGAGCACGTAGGCCCTGATCCACATTCTAAGAAACGGAGAGAGGAAGTCCTCACTTGCCCCATTTGCCATGAGTACTTCCGGGAGCGCCACCATCTTTCCAGGCATATGACCTCACACAGTTAGTAGGTGACTAAGGAAAAAGCCGATGGCCATCGTGTCTGGTGCTCAGTGGTGAGGCACAAGTGATTCCTGGCCTTTGTTGACAAGGTTGTCTCAGGTGTCTTCAAGGTTGTTCCCTTTGCTTCCCAGAGATGAACAGCTCAGTTATAATTTGTCATGTCCTAGCCCCTGTGATGTGTTTTCCTGGAAATTCATGCATTAAAATGGTGAGCTTCGCTCATGGGATAAGGGGACCCATGACCCTGGGAACGGGGCTGTTCCTGGCTCTGTTCCTAGTGCCCTGCATGGAAGCATGTGAGCACAAGATGTTGGCTTTGCTGGTAAGGAAGCCTGCATTCAAGGTGGGCTCTCTTACCTAAGAGCCACAACCTTGGACATGTTCCTTTAACTTGCTGACCCTCAGTTTTCTCATTTTAAAATTGTGGTTAATGAATGCCATCAGTCTTGAGGAAGGTGTGTGGTAAGTGGCCAGCTCATTTTCCTGGTAGAATGTGAGCACTAAGCATATCAAGTTCATAGTCACTGCTTGAGCTAGTCAGCTACAATATTTGTGAAATCTCAGGGGTGAACAAGTACTGGGTTTCTCTGCCATGAGTCTGCAGCAAGGCTGAGGATGAGCTTGGCTTGGTAGACATAGCTCAGGCTGCATTCAAATCTATGTCCTTTTCCTGCTGGGTCAATACTCTGGACACAGTGAAGCTGGGAGCAGAGATGGCAGCCGAAATGCTCAGTTAGATTCCCGGCCTCCGCCTGGGTCACAAGCCTAACCTTCTCTGGGACAACCTACATCCGGTCCTGAAGGGACTAAGTGGAAAAGCGGCCTGGCTGAAACCCTAATGACAGAGTGGGGGCAGCAATCAACCCTCCTGTTCTCCGGGTCTTTGCACTGTGAATATGGGAGAAGAGGAAAACAGACATGCATCATTCATTCTGCATGACTCCCAGGTGCCATCCTTCCTTGTGATCCTGAGCTGGGCAGGAAAGAACAACTGGAGGGAACTAAGAATGAGGTCCCCAGCAGGCACTTTACCTCTGGTCATCCCCCCCCTCCAACACTGGAGGACATAGGCAGTGAATTCTCATACTACTGCAGAAGAATTTCAACTTGAGAAGGTTACTGACTTTCCCAAGGCCACTACTCCAGAGTATTGATGGAAGAACAAAATCCAGTGACCCTCAGATCTGAGCTAATGTCTCTTCCAGCCTGCTGCATGTCTGTTTAGCTAGCATGGTCACGGAGCATACTGCATGACTCAAGAATTGGAACTTAGAGGCCGGCCTAGTCTCCTCATGTCCATTTCAACTTAACCTTGCTACTTGTGCGCAGATTCGCACACACATACACATGCACACACATACAGACACAGACACATGCATACACACACAGACACACACATGCATACACACACAGACACACACACAAACACAGACACACACCCATGCACACTCACACACACAGACACACATGCACACTCACACACACAGACACACACCCATGCACACTCACACACACAGACACAGACACCCATGCACACTCACACACACAGACACACACACACAGACACACATGCACACTCACACACACAGACACACACAGACACAGACACCCATGCACACTCACACACACAGACACACACACAGACACACATGCACACTCACACACACAGACACACACAGACACAGACACACATGCACACTCACACACACAGACACAGACACACATGCACACTCACACACAGACACACACAGACACAGACACCCATGCACACTCACACACACAGACACCCATGCACACTCACACACACTCACTCACACACACACACACACACACACACACACACACACACACACACACCACTCTTCTCTTGAGCACCTTTCTCCATCCTGTACACTAGGCAGTGTAGAGATTTGTCCTGGTCACTGGAGCACTCATCACTGGAGTGAAAGCAGGCTCTGCTGTTTGTTCCTGCTGTATTCCCATCGTCTGGAACAAAGCAGGCATACAGTAGGCACTCAACACCTATCTGCTGAAAGAAATTACAAGTTACCAAATGAAGGATCTGCCTGACTCTGGCCTTGCTCCTGACAACTCTTGAGTTGGCAAGGAGAGCAGGAGGTGGCATCTGTCAAAAGCAGGTTCACGCTTATTTCCGGCGCAGTGGATTGACCTGTGATTTCTATGCCATCTCTCTGAAAGGGGATGCTTCTGTCATGAGGTGCAGATGATGCTCGGATCTGATGCCGGCACAGCTGTGTGGCAGCCCTTCAGATTTACAAGCTCAAAGATGTTTGGGCGTCCATGACTTAGAATTTGTTAGTGACACAGTTCCTCAGAATAAGCATGCTGGGCTGTCAGGCTTCCTCTGGAAGTCAACTCCCCTCTCCTGTCTTCCTCTCTCACGTCACTTGTTCCTCCTGGAGAGGCCACTTTAAACCGTGACTTCCTGAGTTATCTCTTTCATAAAAAAAAAAAATAGCCTGGATATTTTCATTCCTCAAAATTCATTTGAAGATTCTGAAGTGCCAGCTCCCCGTTTTCTTTCTGAAGACATGGCTAAAAACAACCACCTCTGAAGTAGGAGGTGGTCCTCACATAAGGCATTCCGTCCACTGATACCTGTCCCTCTTTTACTGTCCAGAACTGTGAACAATAAATTCCTGTTGTCTATAAGCCACCCAGTCTATGGCATTTTGTTATAGTAGCCTGAACAGACCAGGCAGCCGCCTTCTATACACAGTTCAGTTACTGCTTCTAGGGGTGTAGGGATGACTCAGTGGTTAACAGTGCTTGCTGATCTTCCAGCGGACCCAAAGTGGGTTACCCCACCAATGCCGAGTGCCACAACTGCCCTGAACTCCAGCTGCAGGGAATCTGGTGCCCTCTTGTGGCCTCAGGGGTGCCCGCATACATGTGGCACAACCACTTCTACATCTATAAATAAAAATAAAAATAATTCTTGGAAAAACTAAGGCTTCTAAGAAGTCCTCAGGGGCCAGGGATTATGACTCAGTAGTAGGGTGCTTGCCTAGCATGTGTGAGACACAGGTTCAGTCTCCAGCACTGCCCAGAATTTAAAAAAAGAATTTGAAAATGAGGCTGAAGAAGGCCATGCTGAATTCAGATCAACTTACTAGACAATTACCAACAACTCATATCCGGAGCGCTTATAGTGCTGAATTTAGACCATCATCGAGGTTTTCTTTTTACTGTTATCTTGGAAACAATTAAAATCACTATGATGCCAGGTCCTAATTCTGAACTTGTTGCAGATTCCTGGATCTTTATGTCAAGGGTCCTAAATGCAAATGACTGTATATGATTAGAAAAACGTATGTAGGTGAAGGGCCCAGAGCACAGACATGGTGGCACCCCTTGGTGACAGGCCCTGCCATGAGCTTGGGTGGGTGTCCTGGGGAAAGCCTCCCCAGAGCCGGCCTGAAAGAAGCTAAAAGAGAGAGCAGCAAGCCAGGAATCAGTGTTAAAAGTACTTGTCTACTAACTCAACTGCTGCTTAAACACAGCTAGGCAGACGGATGCCTTCTTGTGGTGACTTGGAGGAGGGTTTCCTGGACCAGGACTGGGATCTGGTATGTCTGGCTTCCTTTCCCTGTGTTCTGGCAAAGGGAGTGACATGGACAATGTGACATAGACTTGCTGTGTGGAGAATGAAAGAACCATGAGCTGGTGCCCCACCCCCAAGTCTGATCGGCTTCCAGCTGTTGAATGCAGAAGGGGCCAGGCCCACCCTTCTAACCTCACTCATGGCCCCTATCCTCGTGAGCCCTGGAAGAGACGAGCTGCACAGGATGGAAATACGAAAAGCCCAATTACAGCCCTTGCCTCCTTCATCCCCCCTGGGAAGGGATGGCACTCTCCAGAGGCCTCTGTAAGCTGCTTCTCCAGATAGAGATTTCACATGTCCCCATCATTTTATACTTTCCTTATTACAAGTCTTGTGACAGGCCTAAAGGTCATATAGTATATGAGATATGAATCTGCTAGGATAAGCCCCTCCCTCTTTCAGGAAGTTATTCTATGATGTGATGTGACTTAAGATACCTCTTAGGAGAAAATGTTTAGAAATCCGTTTTGTATGAGGGGTGGGAAAAGAAGGGAGGAGGCTTTAAATGTAGCTTTCCCTCTTTTATCCATGACGTGTTTTCCAGGGCTGGAGGCAGGGGACCTCCGGTGTCTGGTCCCCTTGCTGTTCTAAGATCCTCGGGTTAAGAGGCTATCTTCAGTACCAGTCACTGGTCTGTAAAGCAGAGCTGAGGTCCCCAGGCCAGGTGGCAGCAGCTAAGTCCCTCAGGAACCAGTAGGTGGTAGCTAAGTGCCCTCCTGTGGGGGACCTGGAGAGCTTGCTGGCCCAGGAGTGGGCTTTAATATGCCTGGCTTCCTTTCATTCTGGTAATGGCGGTGACCCTGGGCATTGTAGGGTGAGTGAGACAGGAGATGGCCAGGGGCTTCACCTCTGCTGTGCTGGCCTAGCCTCAGTAGGGGTTCTGTGGGGACCTCCAGATGCTCTCTTCACCTTCCTGGTTGAATGGGGATGGGATCCCTGATGCCGCCTGCTGCAGGGAGCCAGGCCATACATACTCCAGCAAGACTTTGGAGGTCCAAGTCCTTTCCTCTGATGACCAACTTCACCTGGGCATGGCACTCTAGCCCACACAGAGCCATCCTCTGTCTTACCCACCTTGGTCCTGTCGGTCACACCCCGGCCAGGGTGAAGACTGTGCCAGCTCCCTAGCCCTGCTGTTCATATCTAGTCCCTGGACCTTCTCTGGAGCTCTTTGTTCTGCAGTCACCCCTTGCACGGTGTCTGGCCTGGCATCCTCCAGACTTGCCCCAGGGAGAGAGGCAACCAAACAGAAGGCAATGGATCTAACAAGCCTGCGTTCATTTTCTGTACCCCAAGGCTGGCTTTGGTCGAGAACAGCAGAAGCCCCTTAGGCAGGTCTTGCCCAGAGCCAGGCTGGAGCCCTTCCAGAGCTCTTATAATCCACTAACTGTGCAGGTGGTGGGAACACCCGGACTATTAGGACCAGCTGGACTCTCAGGCACTCCAGCACCCCCCGACAAAGGTCAAGGGAGTTGCCCCACCCTTTCTGCGTACACTCTTAGGCTCCTTCTCCACCTGTTCTGCAGGACGGGATAGGTAAGTCTGACCCTTGAGAGGAACGTCATCAGAGATCAAGGCCTTTCAGTAAGATCAGCCCCTTGCAGCCCATAGATGAGGCAAAAGGCACCAAGCTAGGCCCTCAAGACCAGGGAGAGAACGACAGATGGGGCCAATATGGAGTAACGTTAGATATTAACTCGCCAGACCCTGCTGTCTGTGTGGCAGAGGAGCAAGAGAGGGTGGTGTCTGGAAGTAATATAAGGGTGAGTCCGAGATGCTGAACTGGGGACAGGAGCTGCCTTGGGTCAGGTGGGGCTGGAGAGTGTGGTGGTACTAAGCACAGACAGAGCTTCTGGGACCTGTGTATGTATTATTCCTTGTTTCTTTTACTTAGTCTTGTCTCCAAGCAGGTACCATGAGAAGCTCATATAAGGAAGGCTGACTTGTTCTGCTATGCAGAGAATATTGGTTTCTTTCCATTTCATTCTTTCCAGGCCCAGGGGATACTATGCACCATGTGACAGGAACATTGGTATCTTCAGGCCAATAGATGTGGGTTGAGGTCCCGCCTATTCCCTCACTAGCAGCTCCAGACTGCACTTGTCTCTAAAAGAAAACAATATGGCTGATGGAGGCAGAAGGGGGTTTCTGGAAGGAGCCTGGATTGTGTCCAGTCTCAGAAGAGCAGCCCGAGAGATCTGGCTGGATAGTGGGTAGAAAACATAGGTGGCTTAGGCAGACCCACAGCTGACGCCATACCTGGGAGCTGCTCCTGAGGATGCTGCTGTTGTCGGTCTGCACTGCCGTCGGTCTGCACTGCCATCGGTCTGCACTGCAGTCGGTCTGCACTGCCGTCGGTCTGCACTGCCGTCGGTCTGCACTGCCGTCCGTCTGCACTGCCGTCCGTCTGCACTGCCGTCCGTCTGCACTGCCGTCCGTCTGCACTGCCGTCCGTCTGCACTGCTGTCCGTCTGCACTGCTGCCCGTCGGTCTGCACTGCCATCGGTCTGCACTGCCGTCCGTCTGCACCGCTGTCCGTCTGCACCGCCGTCCGTCTGCACCGCCGTCCGTCTGCACCGCCGTCCGTCTGCACTGCCGTCGGTCTGCACTGCCGTCGGTCTGCACTGCCGTCCGTTGGTCTGCACTGCCGTTGGTCTGCACTGCCGTCCATCTGCACTGCCGTCGGTCTGCACTGCCGTCCGTCTGCACTGCCGTCGGTCTGCACTGCCGTCCATCTGCACTGCTGTCCGTCTGCACTGCCCACTGGGCATCTGGCAGGATGCTGATGCCTAGACTTGTCACTTGCTCCAGATTTAATCTTTACCTCAGGTTCCTCC